TGTTCCGTTTCGATGCCTCGTGCTATCCCTACAGCCACGAACGCTGACATTTAAAAGGGTAACAGCCCAGAGGCTGGAAAATAGCAGCCACTCATCTCCTGGACTGCCTTTCGGTCTGGTAGACGGTCCAGGCCTCCTGACTCTGTTCCAGCTTGCGGAGGTGTGGGACACACCTCCCTTAGTCGGTTGCGCTGGTTCTTATTACAAAAGAGAACTTCTGATTCGGTTTTCCAGCTCTCAAACAGTTAAGTGACTTCTTGCAAACGCTACAGTCCCAGCAACCAGCCTTCCAATCAAAAGTAAGTTGGTTGATGTCACTGACATTGGCTCAGCCAATCAGAAGGGCGTTCCGAAAGCAAGCGCTCAACACTTGTAAATGAGAAGAGCTGTAGTGAAACTGGACGCATCCTTGTATTTTGTGTTGCTGGTGGTAAAACTGAGAAATGTATGGGAGGGCAGGGGTGATGAATGCAATTTGAGTCTATAATTTCAAATTTAAAAATACCAAATATGTCAGGCCAGGTGGTCAAAGAATAAACAAACAAGAAAGCATCAATTCGTTTTTTCAGTGTTGGGGGGCAGGATACTTTAGGAAAGATTTTTAATAGCCTTTCCATCCAATACATGAACTACAACTAATTCATCTGAAAAATGCAAAGCTGATAAAGTTCTGTTTTAAAGAGTCTTTCTGTTGTCTGACTATTACATTAAAATACCCTGTCATTGCTTTTGTGATAACCTCCTACCTAATTCCCCTCCTTCCGTAGTGCAATTTATTCTAAGTAAGTTTTTTGTTTGTTTGTTTGCTTTAAAGCTATTGTAACCCACCTTCAAATAAATGAAGACAAAATCCCTCTTTTGTATAACATTTTAAAAAACACCGTTCTTAGCTCATTTTCTTTCTACAGGTCCCTGCATGGTTATTAGGACATATTTCCTCCCCTCACCTTACAAATGTAGAGACTAGGGACACAGAGAAATGACTTGTCTACCATATCAAGTAGATAGTGACAAAACTCAATTGAAACCATAGATCTCCTGATTCCTGGCTCTTTGAGCTTTACAATAACTGAGGTCTTTGGTTTCGTGAAATATTAACTAAGTTAAACAGATTCTTAACTGTAACCAGCCAGAGATCCTTAGCTATTGAATTTTGTCACATTACTTGATCAAAAATTAGTATGGATCTTAAGTCTGATTAACTCATTTTGCTTCTCCCTCTTAAGGATGAGGTTGTTTTCCAACTTGATAGCTGAGAAAAGAATCTAGGGCTAATGTCTCTAGCAGATTGCCTACTGTAAGCACAATTGATTAAAAATACATTTACTTTCCTAACTGGGTGTGAGAGATAACTGCTTCTATGTGATACAGATCCAAGGAGCTCCAACTATGACCCCGACTGGCTGTTAGCCTTTGTTAAGGCTTGGAAAAGTTACACCAGGTTCTTGGTCTCTAAAGGAAGGATCCCAAAATAACCCTCCCAGGCTGAAGGCTAGTGTAGTTTATTTTGATTTTGCTTTTGAAGTGGTACAGGAAGATATTGCAGTATGTGCCCACATGGGAAAATAAAGTATAGAAAGGGGGTGCTGGTCAATCAAGAATAGGATCATCGTCATCGCTATCATAGTAAGATAGGTACATACATCATAGTATGTAAAGGTGAAGCCATCTTAGTTTTCTTGTATTCTAATCCCCTTAATTTCAGAAAAGAATTCATTAAAGCCCAGGAGAGTTTGCCTACTTCATGATTTTTCTGGGACAAACTCTGTCCCCAAGGATACCTGATCACTTAGAAATTGCTCCTTCGCTTGCCTCTTTAAGGTCCAGCACAAATACCTGAGGGATCTCAATGGGGTCTCTACGATCACTGACTTTACAGTCTCTCAGACTTGCATTGCAACTGGCATTGCACTGCACTGAGTATCTTCAGGCAGCTCTAGAGTTATTACTGGGGTTATTTCAGAAAAAAGGAAAATCTGTATCTTTCCTTGAAGATTGTAATCCAGGAACTTGAATAAATCAATCATTATAGATTTTTTTGAAAATATAACTTTCTCCTTTCTACTTCTTGACCTCTTCTCTTTAATTCCCTTTATTTGGACTGGACATAAACTCTGAACTCTTAAAACTCATTCATTTCAGAGTTATAAAAGGAAGAAATAAAATAAAAGTGAGATTTCAACACATGAATTTCTCTCATACGTTTACAAACATAACTGCTGCTTGACTTGATTTAGAATATCTTTTTTAAACCCAACAATTCTAAAATTGTAGACTGCTTTCCTTTTCTCCTTTTCCACTTATTCATTCTCCAGATATTTATGTTTCTGTCAATGAGCTAGACATGGGGGAATACAGAAATTGAAAGGCACTATGTTTTCAATGAGGCTTATATGTTAAATATATATATATACATATATATATGTGTGTGTATATATATATATAAAAAATCACATCAAGTAATGATAATTCCTACATTGGGATTTTTTCCTTGTATTTTCAACAGGTTTCCTTGCTCCTTTGGGATGCATATTATAAATTTTATGATTAAAGCCAGCTTATGCGGTTTTGCCAGCATGTGGATGTCCTAATTAAAATTCTGGCAAAATAAATTATCTCAAATTAATATGAATCATTCCTAATCTCAACGAATAATTTACCAGTAAGTATATATTCTGCCACATAAATATGAGGTCTGTTTTCCCCCAAGTTAGTCTTTATAAGTACACATTTCAAATACATACAAACCAACTGGGAAGAGCAGAATTCAAAGGCTGTAACTGTGTTTCTGGTTTACAAGTATGCATTTTTCTCTTTCAATTCTGCCTAAACTTTCGCTCTATTATTCTCAAAAACAATGGCCTCCTGGGCCTGAGGTGAACTGTGTGACTTTAGGCAACCACTTAAAGCTATTTCCCTATTTGTGAATTGATGGGATTAAATACATCTCCATAGTCCATTCCAAAATCCAAATATTCTAGGAGTCCACCCCCCCAAAAAAAATCCTAGGGAAAAATGGGCAAGACTTGGGTTCTTTCAACACCACCTCATCTGCTGTGCATCCACAAACAGCTCTTTATGGAAGTGAAGGTCGGAATACTTTACATCAATATTTAGTGGGATAGCAGGCACAGAAATGTGTCCAAAATCCCTTAAAACCTCTCTTATTTAATTTCATGGTCTTGTTTTTCTTTCTTCAAGCTAGTTCGTGGGAAGTGGTCCGGCTCGGAGAATCCCATTCTTTTTCCTAGATAAGTTTTCCACCCCAGCCCCAAATGAGATTATTTCCAGGCGGAATGAAGCCCATTCCCAGGCCCTTCCCCTGGAGATTTTTATTCACCCTTAGCCCAAAGCAGTTTCCCCAACTAGCCAGGGTGAAGCTAATCCCCTGGAGTTTAATTTAAAATACGTATTGCCAGGTCTCAAGGCCCAGGGAAGTATAGGTTAAAATCGCACTCTGGTAGCACTGGGTTCTGTCAACCCTGGCTTTTCTCATTCTTTCCTACTGGGAGGCGTGGACCGTGCTGGGCAGAGCTGCCAGGCTCCAGGCGGGAAGGAAAGAGAACAGATGGCCCGCTGGGGGTAGGGGATCACGTGTCGGACCTCACTCTGGGCGCGATCCAGACTTCTTTCTGGACTCAGGCCCTTTGGCTTCACCGACCCCGTAGAGGCACACCGGGCGAATTTGCGGGGGAAAGCAGTGTTCATTTTAGTGAAAATTGTAGAATTAGGAGTAGGTGGCGAGCTTGGTGAGGAGGAGGCGGGGCTGAAGGGATCAGGGTTCCAACAATGGCGGAGTTCCTGGATTTGTAATACAATCAGGTAAAGCCCTATCTGGTGAAACGCCTGTGTCCTTAACGACAGTTAACACCCAGGGGCTGGAGGTGGGGTGGCGTTCTGGCCCACGCGAAAACTTGCACGACGCCCTACTTTGCTCTCGCTCCACTTAGCAGCCTCCCGCAGAACTCCAGGCCTCTCCTTTGCCGAGCAGAAAGGCCACCCGTTCATGCATATGCAGGAAGACAAGTTTAGATCGCAGCCCCCCGCACAAGAAGAAGCCCCGCACCGCGCGATATGAATCACCCGCGCTCGGGGGCGGGCGCAAGGCTCGGACCGCAGACTGGCGGGCGGCGCAGCCACTTGCGAGCCGCGCGCCCCAGCCTGGCATCGCCCTTTTAAAAAGTCTTCCGCAGGCGGCCACCGCAGCAGCAGCCGGAGGAGGCGAGTTCATCTGAGGACAGTCCCAGTTCTCAGAAATCCCTTCCCTGCTGGAACATCAAGCTCCCTTTACTGCAGTTGAACAAACTGCCCTAGATTGGGGGATAAGGAACCCGCCCCAAACTCGTGCAAGTCGCTCCGGGCGCCCGCGCCCACGTGAGCTAACCTTGAAATTAGCCCCCGCACCCGGGCGGGAAGCGGAGGGGGCGGGAGTAGGCAGCCGAGGGTTGTTGATCCCTCTAGGCCCAAGTCCTTGGGTTTGCGCCCTCCGCGTGCGTGTACCGCCCCCACCACACTGTTTCATAACTCTGGCGAGGCTGCATTTTTT